ATGATGACGATGACGACGACGATGACGATGATGCTGCTGATGATGATGATGAGGGATGATGATGGTGCTGATGATGACGGGGAGGAGGAGGATGGGGAAGGAGAGGAAGAGAGAGGAGGGGGGGACAGGGAAAGGGAAAGTAACGAGGGAGGCATGGCGAAGATAATCATGAGAGGGCAAGGGCGGCGCGAAAGGGGGGGGGAAATGAGAGGGGAGGAGCGTCGTATGTTTCTGCTTTGCGGGTGTTCTAAAGGGTTTTGGGGGTCGTGCGAGGGTCTGGGTGGCCCTTCCCCTCCTTTCCTCCCCCCCCGTGTCCTCCTCCGCCAACTCCTCCTCATCCTCCTCCTCCTGCTCCTGCTCCTCCTCCTCCTCCTCCCCCCCCCTCCAACCTCCCCAGTGACAGACTTTTTGTGTCCCCCCAGGTCATTCTTTATAGTACGGGCTTTTTAAGTTTCCAATCGCAACACCTTTTTCCAGCCCCCCCTAAGCGCGACCCGTGTGAGAACTGCCGGAATTGGCCTCTGGACGCTGGCTCATCCAGCAACTGAGGAGCCAACCAGCCAGCCAACCAACCAGCCAACCAGCCCTTCCTGGTATATTTTTTGAAGATATTCCGCACCACTGGGCCCATACTGATTTTCTTAAACCTACAAGGACCGCGGGGCGGGGGAAGGGAGGAATGTGACGAAATGGAATGGAATGGACGGAAGGAATGAAATGGAAGGGAGGAGCGGATGGAATGGAGTGGCGTGGACTGGTAAAGGAATGGGTGGGAGGCGCGCGCGGAGGGGCGAGCGGGCGCGCGAGCGAGCGGGCGGGCGTGCAGACGTGCGGGCGGGCGCGCTGTATTGCGTTGCGTTGCGTTGCGTTGCCGTCGTCGTCGTCGTCGGCGTCGTCGTCGTGGTCGTCGTCGTTCTCGTCGTCGTCCTCGCCGTCGTCGTGGCATAATGTTCTGGTTCGGCCCCCGCGGCGCTGTCGCGTGACAGCCAAAACGGGATGCTTTTTCTTTGCGCCTCCAGGCGTTGCCATGTGGCGAGTGGAGTGGCATGGTGGTTTTCGTCGGCCCCCGCAACGTTGCCACGTGGTGAATATTTGTTTTCGGTCCCCGCGGCGCTGCCACGTGGCAACAAGAGTGAATGGACTACTGTTTATTCGCGCCCCCAGGCGTTGCCACGTGGCAGATGGAGTGGGTGAATCTATTTTTCGGCCCCCACGGCGCTGCCACGTGACGGATGCAATGGAATAGTATTTTTTCCTTCCCGGCCGGCGCTGCCACGTAACGAATAGAGTGCAGTAGTATCTTGTCGTCCGCCCAAGCGCTGCCACGTGGCAGCCACCCAACCAACAAACCAACCAACCGACCGACCGACCAGCCACCAGCTAACCAACCTGGCAACCAACGATCCTGTTGCGTGGCTTTGCGTTGCACTGCGTTGCATGTGCATTGCATGTGAAATGCTCTGACTGTGTTGCGCCGCGTTGCAGTGCGTTGTTTTGCGTTGCATTGTATTGTCTTGCGTCCTGTTTCGTTGCATTGCATTGCGCTGTGTTGCATGTGCTTTGCATTTGTAATACATTGCGTTGCAGTGAATTGCGGGCAAAGGGGGGAGGGGAGGGAGGGGGGGGAGGGGGAGGAGGGGATGGGGAGGAGGGAGGAGGAGTAGTACATTGATTTGAAGTGAAGCAGGAGGGGAGAGGAGGGGAGGGGAAGGAGGGAGGAAGGGGGAGGGAGGAGGGAGGAGGGAGGAGGAGGGAAGGAGAAGGACGAGGAGGAGGATAGGATAGTAGTTGGGTTCTCCTCCCTGGGTTTCGTCACCATCGTCGTCGTCATCGTCATCGTCATCGTCATCGTCGTCGTCGTCGTCGTCGTCCTCGCCGTCGTTGTGGCATAATGTTTCTGTTCGGCCCCGCGGCGCTGCCACGTGACGCATTGCAGTGTATTGCAATGTATTGCATTGTGTTGCAGCCTATTGCATTGAATTGCGTTGCATTGCACTGCGTTGCATGTGCAGTACGTTGCATTTCAATACATTGCGGGCGAGGGGAGGAGGACAGGAGGGAGGAAAAGGAAGGAAGGTAGAGACCAAGGGAGAATGGAGGAGGAGAGTGGAGGGAGGAGGGGGGGGGAGGGGAGGGGAAGGAGTGAAGAAGGTGGGGAGGAAGGAGGGGGAGGGATGATAGGATTAGATCTTTTCTCGCCTTTCTGGCCCTCGTCATCGTCGTCGTCAGTCGTCATCGTCGTCGTCGTCGTCCTCGCCGTTGTCTTGGCATAGTGTTTGTGTTTGGCCCCCGCTGCGCTGCCACGTGACGACTAGAACAGACAACGTTTTTTTTGCGTCTCCAAGCGTTGCCACGTGGCGGACGGAGTGGCATAATGTTTCTTGTCTGCCCCCGCAAACTGTCACGTTTTTTTTGTTGGGACCCCGCGGCGTTGCCACGTGACGAATAATACAGTGGATGGAATGCTGTTTCTTCGCGCCCTCAGGCGTTGCATGTGGCGCGTGGAGTGGCTAAGTATATTCTGGCCCCCCCTGCGGCGGCGCCATGTGGCGAATAATGGAATGCTGCTTTTTCGGTGCCCGCCAGGCGTTGCCACGTGCCCCCGCGGCGTTGCCACGTGACGAATGATGGAATCATATTATGTCGGTCCCCGCCGAGCGTTACTGCGTGGCGGATAGAATAAAATAGTCCTTTGTCCGGTCCCCGGGGCGTTGCCACGTGACGACTTGAGTGCAATAGTATTTTGTCGCACGCCCAAGCGTTGCCACGTGGCGGCCACTTAACCAACAACCTAACCAACCAACCGACCGACCAGCCACCAGCCAACCAACCTCCCAACCAACGATCCTGTTGCGTTGCGTTGCGCTGCGTTGTATTTGCATTGCATGTGCAGTACATTGCATTGCAAGACATTTCGAGCGAGAGGAAGGACAGGAGGGAGGAGAAGGGAGGAAGGTAGAGAGGAGGGGATGAAGGTGGACTGAGGAGGGAGGAGGGAGGAAGGTGGGGAGGGGGAGGAAGAAAGGGGGAGGAAGAAAGGGGGGAAGATGGAGGAGGGAGGAGGGAATTGGGGTGGAGAAGGACGAGGAGGATAAGATGGAATATCTTTTTGCCTCCCTGGCCCTCCTTCCTCGTCGTCGTCGTCGTTATTATCGTCATTATCGTCGTCCTCGTTCTCGTCGTCGTCCTCGCCGTCCTCGTGGCATAGTGTTTGTTTCGACCCCCGGGGCGCTACCACGCTAGAATGGAATACGATTTCTTAGGGCCTATAGTTGTCACCACGTGGCGAACGCAGTGGCATGGTATTTTTTTCGGCCCCCGCGGCGTTGCCACGCGACCAGGTAGAGTGGATGGAATGCCGTTGCTTCCCGCCCCCAGGGGTTCGCCATGTGACAAATAATGTGATAGCATTTCTTCGGTTCCCGCCAGGCGTTGTCACGTGCCCCCGCGGCGTTGCCACGTGACGAATCGTGAAATCATATTTTATTCGGTCCCCGCCAGGCGTTGCCACGTGGCGCGCGGCGAATAGAGTGAAATTATTTTTTTCGGTCCCCGCGGCGCTGCCACGTGACAAGTAGAGTGGATGGAACACGGTTTCTTCGCGCCGCAAGGCGTTGCCACGTGGCAGGTGGAGTGGGTGAGCATTTTGTTTCGGCCCCCAGAGGCGTTGCCACGTGACGGATGTAGTGGCATGTTTTTTCGCGCCCGCCAGGCGGCACCACGTGGCGAATGGACTGGAATAGAAATAGTATTTTCCGCAGCCCCCGCGGCGCTGCCACGTGACGAATAGAGTGGAATCGTTTTTTTCGCCCGCCAAGGCGTTTCCACGTGGTGAGTTATGTCGGCCCCGCGGCGCTACCACGTGACGAGACGCACACTCTGTTACATTGCATTGCATTGCATTGCATTGCATTGCATTGCATTGCATTGCATTGCATTGCATTGCATTGCATTGCATTGCGTTGCCTTGTATTCATTGTATTGTATTGCCTTGAATTGCATTTCGTTGCTTTGCGTCGCATTGCATGGCGTTGCATCCTGTTGCGTTACATTGCATGGCACTGCGTTGCATGTGCAGTGACGTTGAAATACATGGCATTGCGGCAAATTGCGGGCGAGGGGGAGGAGGAGGAGGAGGAGGAGGAAGACAGGGAGGGAGCATAAGGGAGGAAGGTACAGAGAAGAGGGGAGGAAAGAAGAGGAGTGAGGAGGAACGAAGGGGGCGGATGGGAGGGGATGGGGAGTGGAGGGGAGAACTGGCTAACCACCCAGGCAAGCGGGCAACCGGCCACCCAGCCACCCAACCAACCAACCAGCAAACCACTCCATCAACCAACCAGCCAACCAGCCGAGCATCCACCCAATCGCTCCTGGTAAAAAAGGCTTGACCTGGCTTCTAGCGAGCCAACCAAAATCGTCCAACCATTCCTGGGCAACCGGCCAAGCAGCCAATCAGACAACCAGCCGACCAACCCACCCACCCACCAACCAACGAATCACCCAGGTGGATCATATTTTTTGGACATGGCAATAGGCGGGCCAATCAGCCAACCAACCCACCAACCCACCAGTCCTTCAATGGAATTTTTGGAGGATGTCCCAAATGGCGGGCCCCCGAAACTTTTCTTTGGACTCCGATTTTGCTTGATCCCGAAAAATTCTTTGGACCCTTAAATAAAACATTTTCTGACCCCGAGAAATATGTTTTTTATGTTTCCCTTCTCCCGCTCTCCTACTCCGCTTCTTCCTCCTCCTCCGCTGCCTCCTCCTCCTCTTCCTCCTCCACCTCCTCTTCCTCCTCCTCTTCCCTCCTCCTCCTTATCCTCTTCCTCCTCATCGTCGTTCTCCTCCCTCCCTTTCCCCCCTCCTCTCACTCCTCCCTCCTGCTCCTCCTCCTCCTCCTCCTCCTCCTCCTCCACCCCTCCTCCTCAATCCTCCTCCTTTTCCTCCTCCTTTTCCTCCTCCTTCCTCCTCCTCCTCCTCCTCCTCCTCCTGCAGGCCTCCGTGTGCTGCGCCGTCTCGCCCTCGTCCCAGCGGCCGCCGCTGCCAGACCCCCAGGAGCCGGTCTGTCTTCCTGGTGGGGCAGGGGGGGGGCAGTGGATGAGGCGGAGAGGGGGGATGCTGTGGATGATGATGATGTTGTTGATGGTGATGATGGTGGTGATATTGCTGCTGATGATGCTGCTGATGATGATGCTGATGATGATGCTGCTGATGATGACGATTACGATGACGACGATGGTGATGTCGACGATGATGACGCTGATTGTGCTGATGCTGATGGTGCTGCTGTTGATGCTGCTGATGGCTGTGATAATGCTGCTGCTGCTCATGATGATGATGATGATGATGATGATGATGATGATGATGAAGACGATGTTGCTAATGAGAGCACTGGCGGCACTGCTGTTGAACATGATGATGATGATGATGATCGTGGTGGTGGCGATGCAAATAATGCTAGTGCAGCTGTTGATGGTGATGGTGGTGCTGATGGTGATGATGCTGAAGATGATTACGACGATGCTGGTGGTTATGATGATTACGCGGCTGCTGCTTCAGCTGGTCATGACGATGTTGATGATGATGATGCTGATGATGATGATGGTGATGATGATGCTGATGATGATGTTGATGATGATGATGATGATGATGATGATGATGATTGTGACAATGATGACGGTGACGATGATGATACTGCTACTGTTGTTGCTGGTGATGGTGATGTTGGTTATGCCACTGCTGTTGATGATGGTGCTGTTGATGATGCTGGTGTTGGTGCTGGTGCTACTGCTGGTGATGATACTGATGATGACGATGCTGCTGCTGCTGCTGCTGATGATGATGATGATGATGATGATGATGATGATGATGATCGAGCGTAGCTTGGCGAGCCGCGTGTCTTTGTCTCAGGCCGCGAGCGAATGGGCCGCTGCAACCAATACCTCGAGGTGCACGTTAGAATGTGAAGGAGGTGCCGCCGGCCCAGATGACCGCACACTTAGTTTATGATAAAGTTTCAAAGCGAGGGCGATGAGGAAGACAGCGCGCTCCACAAATATCTCCTCCGCATACTCGGACTCCTCTCTAAATCCAGGCCGTGTGGCGACAGAGTTGGGAAGGAAGGGACGGGGTAAGGCGACGAGGTGCAGCAAACGCGGGCAGGAGAGGTAGTGTGAAATGGAATCATGCATACGCTCACGTCCGCTGACACACCCATTCTGGCCCAGAATGTGCATTCTGTGGGAGGTGATCCACCCATCCGGCAGAGTTTTGAGCACTGACCAGAAAATGGTGGGGCGAGACAGAACCAAGATGATTTTTAGGGCGGGCCAGCGTGGGGCAATGGGGGGGTACCTGAATCTCGGGATACCACGCTCGCACGCGCTTCTGCAACGCCAGGTGCAAGCGTTCAGGGTATAGCTCCGGGTGAGAGAGCGAGTGTTTGAAGCACCTCGGCCTGACCGGCTGCTTGGGGGGCCTCGGCAGCCGCGATACGCTGGGGGGCCGAGGGGACCTTCGGGAGCGCGATCCATTGCGTGCGATCGTGCAGGAGCTGTACTATGGCACGCTGGTCGCGCCAGAGAGGTGGGCTCCAGAGCTTTTGCACGTGTCGCACGAGCGTGTTGCCCGAAAGCGACGTCTCAGGGAGCTCGGTGCGCCAGGCTTCATATTGTGGGATCGTCGCGCGGGCCGTGCGCTGCTGTAGCGTATGCGGCGAGGGATTGCGGGGCAGCTCCTGGAGCCCATGCTTGGAGCGACCCGAAATCGGGGCCTGTTAACGAGCTGGGCGGCAGCTTCAGCAGCTTGTGCATACAGCGCGGCTCCTTCGTGAGAAACAGCTTCGGCGGCGGGAACAACTGGGCCACGTAGCCCACGGTGGGGAGAATCGCGACTGTGTAAAGGCGAAGGGAGGCGTCAGGAGGCGAGTCGGAGGCCGAGGTCTTGAGGATTCTCTCCCACCACTTCCGCGTGCAGGCTGCCCGCTGTTGGGCGTTGGTGCTATCAGGCTCTATAAGCACTCCTAAGTATTTGGCGGGGTCTGCTATCGTGAAATATTGCCACTCAGGGAGGATGGTGCGAAGAACCGCCCGCACATCCTCGATCACATCTGGCGCGCATTCGGCCCACAACGGCACTAGCACACACTTGAAAGGATGAAGGTGGAGGGAAGCGAGGCTCGACGCGAATGCGAAGGAGCGCCAGCTCGACGAAGGATGAAGGATATAGGCGAGTGAGGTACACCAGCTTCGAAAGAACTGCTCCTAGATCGTCCGCGCAGCCGCCGAACGAGCCGTCACGAGGGTCAGCAAGGAGCGCCAGCTCCAGCGACCTGATGATGGGGTCCATGCCAAATGCCCAGAGGGACCAACTAAATGGGCACCCTTGCATCGCTCCCGATTTGATAAGCAGCAACGGCACGACTTCGTCGCGAATACGGGTAGAAGCCAGGGCGAAAACGTACATGCCTCGAACCGCGGTCAAGTACCCGGGGGGATGCCCATTCGCTAGAAAGGACCGCAAAAAGCCACGTGCGATTCATGCTGGGGAACGCCGCCTTGATATCGAATGCCACAAACAGGGGCATCCGACAGTCAGCGTCCTCTTGAAAACCAACCGCTCGCGCGCGAGCGTCGAGCTTGGCTATGTTCTGACAGAGATTGCGGCCTCTGATGAATCCTGTTGGGTTGCGTGCACTCGCTCTTGCGCTAATTTCGTTAGCGGGAAATGGATAGCTGACGCCATGGCTTTGGCATCGCAGCTTTTGAATGACAGCGGTCGCACCTCTGATGCATCGCGGGGGCATTCGAGCGCATCGCCGATCTTGTCACCTTTCGGCGGGAAAACCAAAATCGAGTGGTTAAGGGTGGGAGGGGCAGGCAGGTAGCTGAAAAGGCGAAGGAAGATGGAATAGAGACAATCAATGGTGTCTGGGACGGCCAGACAGGCCTGGTACGGAAGGCGATCTGGACCAGGCGCCGAGTTCCGTCCTCGCTTAAAAGCTTGAGTGGGCATCCTTGGAGGGAGTCGGCACGTCAGCAACTGGGAACGCGGGCGAAACTTTGTCCAAGAAAGCGTCGATTTCAGCCCGTGAAACGCGCTTGTCCGAATGATGATGATGATGATGATGATGATGATGATGATGATGATGATGATGATGATGATGATGATGATGATGATGATGATGACGATGCTGATGATGATGATGACGATGCTGACAATGCTGACGATGCTGATGATGATGGTGATGGTGATGACGAGGATGAGAGGGCGGAGGGGGGAAAGGCACCGCCGCGGCGTCGGCTTCCAGCTTCCCGAGGCCCGCCTCTTCGGACATTGAGGGCCAGAAGCGCAGAACCTGAGGCGCCCTCCCCGCCCCCCCAGCTGCGCCGAGGGCCCATCCAAGAAGCGCGCTCTTTCCCAGGCGCTGGCTCATCGACCACTCGAGCGGAACCCTGTCGGCCGCTGCTCGCAACGCAGGCTGGCGCCTGGGGGCTGTTCCGCTCTGTCCACGGCGCGGCCTCGACCCGAGGTGGCGTTCTCGGGGGTTTCCCGCGCGCTCCTCGGGGCCATGCGGCCGCCTTCCGCCGCGGTGGCTGAGCTGGCAAGGGCGTCTGGGCGGGCGGTGCCCAGCTCGGCCTGGGCGGCGCTCGCAGCCTCCTCTTCTGCGTCGCGCCGAATCGGCTCGCAAAACTCGCGCCGACTCAGAAAAGCAACTTTGGCCGCCGCTCCGGCGCCGCCGGCTCCTCTTCGTCGTGGCTGTTCACGCGGGCGTCCTGCTGGGTGGCGGCCTTCGGAGAGCTGCTTCCTGCCGCTGCTGTCCGCCGCGCCGCCGCGTGCTGCGCCGCACCCTGCCGTGCTGCGCGGCGAGCCGCTGCCCTGTTTCCGCCGCCATGCGGTGGCCCCGCCCCGCCTCGTGGCTTGCTTTGGCAGCCAGGCGGGCGGCGTTCGCGAAGGTGCGCTTGCCCGCCGAGTGCGCCTGGGCGTTTGGGGCGCTCGCGGTACTGGCGCCCCCCAAGTCGCTAAGCCATTGCGGCCGCGACCATTGGGTAGAGGCTCTTGCCTCGGGCGTCCGCCGCCGGCGCGTCCGAACCATCGCCGAACGCCGCCGCACCAGCCGCGGAGTGTGAGGGCAGTACGTCTGACAGAGCGGAGCATGTAAATGATGCTGATGATCAGGAGGAGGAGGAGGAGGAGGAGGAGGAGGAGGAGAAGGAGGAGGATGCGGAGGAGGAGGAGGAAGATGAGAATGCATAGCGGTGGAGCGGTGGCGGAAGAACTCAGCCTGAAACCTGCGTGTTCGCTCTCGCGCGCTGCGACTCTCCTGCTCCATCTCCTCCTCCTCCTCCTCCACCACCTCCTCCTCCTCCCCCTCCTCCTCCTCCTCCTCCTCCTCCTCCTCGCCCTTCCTCCCCTCGTGCCATGATGGAGGGGGGGCTCCAGCGACGGTCAGTGGCGAGCATCGGCAACCAGCCGTCTGCCATCGGAGAAGGAGAAGAGAGGGCGCCTTACCAAGGGGACGGTCCCCAGACCTCCGGAAACAGGAGAAATTCGCGCAAGTTCATTCGCAACATTCGAATCGTGGGGGGCGTTTCTCGGCCTCAGGGCCGTCATACATCAGCACGGTATAAAAACTGGACCTGGGAAAAGGGGTCGAGAGGTCGAGGGGCTGTCGATCCGAAATAATCGACTCGTCGGAAGTCTGGCTGCGCTGTCGATGTCCCGAGAGTCGGCTGAGAATCTTCGAACTTGAACGCCTGCGCGCGCGCTGCCCCCGCGGAGAAATGGCACGAACCTGCCACAAGTAGGTTGCAGGATTTGCCAGGTGGATGAGGAGGTGGATGAAAAGGATGATGATGAGGACGGTGATGATGAGAAACGCCTGGAGACAGGAATACATCAATCACATATAAAGAGTCTTTCATCGGAGTGCTAGAGTGTGAGTGAAACGCAAAAACGTACATAAACACGACGCCTCGCTTGCATTCCTCATGAGTGCTCCGCATCATGTAACCAACGGTCGTCCGTGACGTTTTGCGGCAATGACGTGAACGTGCAAGTCCTCGATGATCT